GTTTCGTGTGTGTTGATAAAACATAATACTAGTTAGTTCAAAAAAAAAAAAAATTATAATGAGATGTACACATATCTTGATGTATACAAGAGTTTATTTACAAAAGGACGATCGCTAGTAGATCGTCCTTCAGATTCGGGTGCAGTGGATACGATGCTCAAGTCATCACAGTGAAGGAGATGATGTGTTGTATGTAGAATGTAAATGTAACAATGAGCATACCTCATTCTCTCATAGAGGGAGATAATGAATTGTCGTCCGAACTGTCTGGACTTCCCAAACTGTTCAATTCTGTTACGCCAGGTGGTCATATCTATGTGTGGTCCTTATCCTATTAATATACATTCTTACCATTAGTCTTTCTTATTTGACCGCCTAATCGTGCGACCAGGTTGAGTCCTATCGAGGTAGAATGTTGTGCATACTGAGCTTATGTGTTGTCCTTCTGGTTGATCGTACGACCAACTATACTTCCAGGTCGAGTTTCTATCAGGCCATCCGAGAGTCGTAGCTCGACCCGTCGTATCTAGTAATCACTTATATGAACAACTGGTGACTACTTGTTCACATAAGTGATTGGTAGGTATAAGACAAAGAAAAAATAATTGACTAATAGAAATAAGATATTTTAGTAGCATGGGAAGCTAATTATTTATTTTAAGACCGAAAACTGACATATAATAATTAATTTACCATTTAGCTGGGGCGGAGTCACCCTAAGGCTAGGGTGGGCTCCAGCCCCATGTTCCAAAGAAAAAAACAATATTGCTAATTTTAATGTTTAAAAAATTTTATACATAAGTCCCGTTAGCCCCGTGTAATTTTTTATGTAGCCCCATTTAATTTCGGGATAGATGCCTCAAGATTCAAGTCGAAATTTTTTATTAACAATGGAGGAAAATTGATGATTGCAATGAGAGGAAAAAAGACAATTCTTTATTGTTAAATGACAATTGTGTTCTTATTAGATTTTTATCAATTTGGTTTATAATATAATCTAACACACTCTTGCCTTTTAATTTTTTTAATGGGTTGACTTGACAAGTACCAAATGATCAATTGGATAATTAAGTTTGACATACGCTTCTCCTGCGGGCTCTTTAATTGGGTTCGTCTCATTGCACAGTCTGTTATCCATTTTCGTTTATTATTTTTTTTGTTGGTTTCACATTCAATAATTAATTCTGCCTCATTTCCTAGACAAAGAAAAAACTCTTACAGAGTTGAGTGCAAACATGCTCGACTCAATTTGTTTGATCGACAAGTTCGATTAGCTATTTGAGTTTGACTTGTCTAAATATATAAGCGAGTCGAGAGTGAGTTTTCCCAATTCATACCGACATATTTTATCAGATAATTTGGTTCTAGTCATTATCACCAAACCAATTACGGGTCGAATCGCCGATCCCGGGCCGAGAGTTGGAGGACCCTGAACCGGCGCGAACATATGCTCGTGCCTGTTCATTGAACTGTCGGTTCTTGGTCGTCCAGTTCATTAAAAAATAAAAAATAATAAAAAAAAAGATATATATATTTTTTTTAAAAAAAAAGCCAAACCTCGGGTTTCGGTTGCAGTTCAGAACCGAACTGGTCAAAACCACGGGCCGGTTCAAGACCAATGGTCAACGGGCCGGATTGTGTCGGTTCGACCCGAACTGACAGGCTGGGTCGGCCCATAACCATGTATACTCGGTTCCAATAATAACTACAATAATATGCAGTCTCGAGTCAAAAAAATTTCTGCCTACGCCTTGCATTTAGCTTGCTCCAGGTAATAGTATTAGTATTGAGTTTTTCCTATGAATTGTAAAATTAGATACAGTTTACTTGATATACTATCTTTCGTGAAACAATTTCAAAGAATTCATGCCCTAGAATCCATTTATTATTCGTATTTATTTTTACAATCTTTTCTCGTGCTATCGAATGAATGTTCAATAATGTAGTTAGCCTTTATTTTTTGGTTTATATTACTCACGTGGATTGTCATGTTGCAAGAAAAAATAAATAAAAAAAAATCCCAAGGCTATGTTGACATGAATAAATAAATAAATAAATCCGAAGGCCCTATTCAAATTAATATCTCTAACTCTTCCTTACACACTCAATTTGTGTCACACGATCCATTAACGTCCATCTTTAACGTTAGGAAAATATTACAATCTCATCAATTTGTGTCACACGATCCATTAACGTCCATCTCTAACGTTAGGAAGATATTACAATCTCGTCAATTTGTGTCACACAATCTATTAACGTCCATCTCTAACGTTAAGAAAATATTACAATCTCGTCAGCAGGTTTAACAGAATAGTTCCGATATTCTTTTAACCAAACTTTATACGTTACTCAAGTAACAGAAACTATGATA